CCAAACTCTACTAACATCAAAGAAAGAACCCAGTTGCGACCCAATAGGGCCGTAACAGTGGCGCTGCCCAATAAACTCGCCCCTTGGGGCAAAATTTAAAATTTATATAGTTAAGAGTCAAGGAAGTGAAAAGTATTTGTATATTGTTAATAAAAAGACCGCACCAGACCTCCAGTCAACATTGTAAAGTGCAACGCGTCGTATTGTCTTGAGAAAATGACCTCTTCCCAAAGTATGTAAAAAAAAGTGATGGTTTTTATAGACAACAAATTACCAAGTAAGACAAGAGACGTCGAATTGCTAGTCTTTGTTTTCTTATTGCTTTGTTTCAAGCAAAGATTTGATTTATATTTGAGTGAGTTGGGTTAGATTTAATTAGAAGCCGTCTCCTGTATTTAACAGGTCTCCTGCTGAGTCCACAATTCTCAATTGAAGGAATGGATTATATTTATGGTCGCCTTACAGATCTTGTCCGGAGACTGCTTTGGTGTTGGTGAGAGTGGAAAGAGCAAACTGGAAGACGGGGATAACATCTCTTGACGGAAATCAGAGGCAGTCAGCCAAGTTGAGAGAGGAAAAGCAGGACATGGTGGAAGGTGTGTAAGGAAAGAGGGAGATGTCTGCCCTTATCTCTCTCTCTCTCTCTCTCTCTCTCTCTCTCTCTCTCTCTCTCTCTCTCTCTCTCTCTCTCTCTCTCTCTCTCTCTCTCTCTCTCTCTCTCTCTCTCTCTCTCTCTCCCCTCACACACACACACACACACACACACACACACACACACACACGCACATTATTCTACGATCAGGTGACCAAGATTAAGCAAGAAAGAGAGGGCTGGGCGACTGCATTTTCTTGGATTGTCGGAAAGCCTTTGACACAGTACCGCATAAGAGGCTGGTACATAAGCTGGAGAGACAGGCAGGTGTAGCTGGTAAGGTGCTCCAGTGGATAAGGGAGTACCTAAGCAATAGGAAGCAGAGAGTTACAGTGAGGGGTGAGACCTCTGATTGGCGTGAAGTCACCAGTGGAGTCCCACAGGGCTCTGAACTCGGTCCTATCTTGTTTCTGATATATGTAAATGATCTCCCGGAGGGTATCGATTCATTTCTTCCAATGTTTGCGGACGATGCTAAAATTATGAGAAGGATTAAAACAGAAGAGGACTGTTTGAGGCTTCAAGAAGACCTAGACAAGCTGAAGGAATGGTCGAACAAATGGTTGTTAGAGTTTAACCCAACCAAATGTAATGTAATGAAGATAGGGGTTGGGAGCAGGAGGCCAGATACAAGGTATCATCTAGGAGAGGAAATTCTTCAGGAGTCAGAGAAGGAAAAAGACTTGGGGGTTGATATCACACCAGACCTGTCTCCTGCAGCACATATCAAGCGGATAACATCAGCGGCATATGCCAGGCTGGCCAACATACGAACGGCATTCAGAAACTTGTGTAAAGAATCATTCAGAACTTTGTATACCACGTATGTCAGGCCAATCCTGGAGTATGCAGCCCCAGCATGGAGTCCATATCTAGTCAAGGATAAGACTAAACTGGAAAAGGTTCAAAGGTTTGCCACCAGACTAGTACCCGAGCTGAGAGGTATGAGCTACGAGGAGAGACTACGGGAATTAAACCTCACTTCGCTGGAAGACAGAAGAGTTAGGGGGGACATGATCACCACATTCAAGATTCTGAAGGGAATTTATAGGGTAGATAAAGACAGTCTTTTTAACACAAGGGGCACACGCACAAGGGGACACAGGTGGAAACTGAGTGCCCAAATCAGCCACAGAGATATTAGAAAGAACTTTTTTAGTGTCAGAGTGGTTGACAAATGGAATGCATTAGGAGGTGATGTAGTGGAGGCTGACTTCATACACAGTTTCAAGTGTAGATATGATAGAGCCCAGGAGGCTTAGGAATCTGTACACCTGTTGATTGACGGTTGAGAGGCGGGACCAAAGAGCCAGAGCTCAACCCCCGCAAACACAACTAGGTGAGCACACACACACACACACACTACACACACACACACACACACACACACACACACACACACACACACACACACACACACACACACACACACACACACACACACACACACACACACACACACACACACACACACACACACACACACACACACACACACACACACACACACACACACACACACACACACACACACACACACACACACACACACACACACACAACCATACATCAACTCATGTGTTTCCCGTCACTCCATTTCCTCCTCTCTTCCCAGCTCCTTAACCTCGCTACCCCTGACATTTTCCATCCCTATCTCCTCCTCCGTTATCTCCCAACGTCATAAGCGAACTTACCGGTGGCATTAGAGTAATGGGCAGGTCTTAAACTGAGAAAGTTATACTTTTTTGGCCTAAGCCTGGCCGGGTGATGGTAGAGGAGAGGGAGGAGAGAGTAGGGAGGGGAGAGTAGGGAGAGGGAGGGAGGGGAGAGTAGGGAGAGGGCTTAGATATTGAGAGGAGAGTGGGATGTAGATTTGGAGAGAGTGGGATAGTGTTATCGGCCCTGGCATAGTGATGGATACGATAGTGAAGTAATGTTTTCCATCGTTGTGGTGTTAGTGTTGCTGTTAGTGATGGTATCTAGTTGTAGTGGTTTCAGTTACCTCCTATGGCGTACCTGAGTGTTTTTTTTATGGGGGGGGGGGGATCATTCTATATGTCTCTCTCTACTTTTTTCTACAGACATTCGAAATAAGAACTTGCCCTTGACGTGAACTCTAATCCAATTGATTAAAACTTCTTTTGTTAATTTGAGGGAACTCACGCTTTATTTAATTAACCTTTTACTTCTGGAAGTTAGTGGAGAAATGTAGTTTGTCCACTGACCAGACCCCCAGACGCCACCCCCACCCTCCTCACACCTCTCTCTCTCTCTCTCTCTCTCTCTCTCTCTCTCTCTCTCTCTCTCTCTCTCTCTCTCTCTCTCTCTCTCTCTCTCTCTCTCTCTCTCTCTCTCTCTCTCTCTCTCTCTCTCTCTCTCTCTCTCTCTTTCTCCCTCTCATTTTCTCCCTGTCCGCTTTGTTTATATCGGTGTCTATCACACAGTTCATTTCTCCCAATGTATTTCTCTCTATTTTTCTGACTCTCTCACCATCCCTCCTCCCATCCTTCCATCAGCACTGTTTTCCTGTTCCTTAATGGTGAACGTTTAGTAATTTGATAATATACATACATGGTCATATATGCAGCAGCCCTCTACTATATGAAACGCTAAACAGTTTGTATTAAGAGCCTGAAACAAATTTCCATTTCGCAAGAAAGTCAGTCATTTAGAGACATGGCATCAGTAGCCTGGACTGGCAAGTTTTGGACACAATGAGGATATCGTCAGGAATTCGGGAGTGGATAAAATAATTAAAGATCATACCGGCCGGTCTGAATAAATGGACATTCTGGATATTCAATACTGTAGTGCGTGTGATCATTACTCGGTTACTGCTGAGTTTACACATGTAATGTTGAGGAGTGGAAGGATCTTCACTGTCAGTTACCTACCACTCAGTTAACTGTAGCCTAACCTGATCCTTGCAATTACTATGTTGCATTCTTTGATGGATATTTTTTGTATTACACACACACACACACACACACACACACACACACACACACACACACACACACACACACACACACACACACACACACACACACACACACACACACACACACACACCATAATTCTCTTATAAAAGTGCTTACGGATTTTGAGTGTGATTTCTCTCCTATCAGACGTAAATTTTTCGAGCAATATTATCTTAACAACGTTATCCTTATTTTGGAGGGATTTTGTGTTCATAAGAGAGATTCTAAACCCTTTTTTCCACACAACGAGAAAATTATTATTGCTGTAATGAGTTCTTGCAGTCTATCATGAGGGCAAGTTTTCAAGTACTTGAAGAGCAGAATGTGAATCGCAGGAAAATGACTCCTCTGTGTGTGTTTATTAAAGTATTGTAGCTAACTGTAGAGCAATCAGTTCTATCAGTGTAGAGTTCAACGAGTTATTTAACCTGGTACTGATAGTCTGTATTAAATTATTATTTATATAACATCTACAGGGTGCTGTAAATCATCATGTTGACGGTTGACTGATTCATCAGTTTAATCATAATACTCGCGAGACCTTAGGGGTTTTATAGGCCTTTTAGCGGAGAAATGAGTCACATTACCATTCTTAGTGATGAGTGTGTGTGATGCGTGGATGACTGAAATCTGTCAAATTGGGATGTCTGTGACAGGTGGATTGTATTTTAAGGTATGTTCAGTTTGAATAGTATTTATACGATTTATACCCAATCATTTATCATTTAAAGAGTTAACTGGTGTGTGCTGTGCACCAATCGCAGGAGTATTAAGGGCATAAAATAATTAATGAACAGTACTAAAGATGTCCAGCTCTCTCTCATGACTAATGCAGAAGTTTGGGAAATCCTATGATAAACTCTACGGGGCAGCCCACCTATATTTCACTTACACTATCCCTAGCCTCTGGACATGATTTTCATCCTCCAGGGATGGTGAGAGCAGGTGTGAGGGGATGTTGGACAGCCTGGTCAGAGTGAGTACCGCAGGGGGCGGTTATTCTTGCTGATGTTATGACCTCGTTTGTTAAAGCCGCCGCTACTCCACCCCGCACCCTCCGCTGCCGCCGGAGAGGAGGCCGGGTGCGCTCCGTACAGGGAGAAGTGAAGCGACAGAGATAATCTACCTAGAGCGCGGTCAACACACATTCTGGTCGGTGAGGTTACTGTGTACCACTGACGACGGGTCCCCAATAGTGACCTGTGCCAGTACTGTGGTTCCTCTCCCCCTCAGGTCCATGAGGTGCACCGTACACCGTACCTGTCATCTTTACAGTACTTCCTCATTTGTTAGGTTCTTTTACAACACCAAACCCTCTTCAAATTATTGTCTCCTATAACCACCCACAACCCACTCCCACCGGCCAGTCCTTCAACCCACTCCCACCGGCCCGACCTTCAACCCACTCCCACCGGCCCGACCTTCAACCCACTCCCACCGGCCCGAGCTTCAACCCACTCCCACCGGCCAGTCCTTCAACCCACTCCCACCGGCCCGTCCTTCAACCCACTCCCACCGGCCCGTCCTTCAACCCACTGCCACCGGCCCGACCTTCAACCCACTCCACCGGCCCGTCCTACAACCCACTCCCACCGGCCCGACCTTCAACCCACTCCCACCGGCCCGTCTTACAACCCACTCCCACCGGCCCGACCTTCAACCCACTCCCACCGGCCCGTCCTACAACCCACTCCCACCGGCCCGACCTTCAACCCACTCCCACCGGCCCGACCTTCAACCCACTCCCACCGGCCCGACCTTCAACCCACTCCCACTGGCCCGACCTTCAACCCACTCCCACCGGCCCGTCCTACAACCCACTCCCACCGGCCCGACCTTCAACCCACTCCCACCGGCCCGACCTTCAACCCACTCCCACCGGCCCGACCTTCAACCCACTCCCACCGGCCCGTCCTACAACCCACTCCCACCGGCCCGACCTTCAACCCACTCCCACCGGCCCGACCTTCAACCCACTCCCACCGGCCCGACCTTCAACCCACTCCCACCGGCCCGACCTTCAACCCACTCCCACCGGCCCGACCTTCAACCCACTCCCACCGGCCCGACCTTCAACCCACTCCCACCGGCCCGACCTTCAACCCACTCCCACCGGCCAGACCTTCAACCCACTCCCACCGGTCCAACCTTCAACCCACTCCCACCGGCCCGACCTTCAACCCACTCCCACCGGCCCGACCTTCAACCCACTCCCACCGGCCCGACCTTCAACCCACGCCCACCGGCCCGATCTTCAACCCACGCCCACCGGCCCGACCTTCAACCCACTCCCACCGGCCCGTCCTTCAACCCACTCCCACCGGCCCGTCCTTCAACCCACTGCCACCGGCCCGACCTTCAACCCACTCCCACCGGCCCGTCCTACAACCCACTCCCACCGGCCCGTCCTTCAACCCACTCCCACCGGCCCGTCTTACAACCCACTCCCACCGGCCCGACCTTCAACCCACTCCCACCGGCCCGTCCTTCAACCCACTCCCACCGGCCCGACCTTCAACCCACTCCCACCGGCCCGACCTTCAACCCACTCCCACCGGCCCGACCTTCAACCCACTCCCACTGGCCCGACCTTCAACCCACTCCCACCGGCCCGTCCTACAACCCACTCCCACCGGCCCGACCTTCAACCCACTCCCACCGGCCCGACCTTCAACCCACTCCCACCGGCCCGACCTTCAACCCACTCCCACCGGCCCGTCCTACAACCCACTCCCACCGGCCCGACCTTCAACCCACTCCCACCGGCCCGACCTTCAACCCACTCCCACCGGCCCGACCTTCAACCCACTCCCACCGGCCCGACCTTCAACCCACTCCCACCGGCCCGACCTTCAACCCACTCCCACCGGCCCGACCTTCAACCCACTCCCACCGGCCCGACCTTCAACCCACTCCCACCGGCCAGACCTTCAACCCACTCCCACCGGTCCAACCTTCAACCCACTCCCACCGGCCCGACCTTCAACCCACTCCCACCGGCCCGACCTTCAACCCACTCCCACCGGCCCGACCTTCAACCCACGCCCACCGGCCCGAGCTTCAACCCACGCCCACCGGCCCGACCTTCAACCCACTCCCACCGGCCCGACCTTCAACCCACTCCCACCGGCCCGACCTTCAACCCACTCCCACCGGCCCGTCCTTCAACCCACTCCCACCGGCCCGACCTTCAACCCACTCCCACCGGCCCGACCTTCAACCCACTCCCACCGGCCCGTCCTTCAACCCACTCCCACCGGCCCGACCTTCAACCCACTCCCACCGGCCCGTCCTTCAACCCACTCCCACCGGCCCGTCCTTCAACCCACTCCCACCGGCCCGACCTTCAACCCACTCCCACCGGCCCGACCTTCAACCCACTCCCACCGGCCCGACCTTCAACCCACTCCCACCGGCCCGACCTTCAAACCACGCCCACCGGCCCGACCTTCAACCCACGCCCACCGGCCCGACCTTCAACCCACGCCCACCGGCCCGACCTTCAACCCACGCCCACCGGCCCGTCCTTCAACCCACGCCCACCGGCCCGACCTTCAACTCACGCCCACCGGCCCGACCTTCAACCCACGCCCACCGGCCCGACCTTCAACCCACGTCCACCGGCCCGACCTTCAACCCACGCCCACCGGCCCGGCCTTCAACCCACGCCCACCGGCCCGTCCTTCAACCCACGCCCACCGGCCCGACCTTCAACCCACGCCCACCGGCCCGACCTTCAACCCACGCCCACCGGCCCGACCTTCAACCCACGCCCACCGGCCCGACCTTCAACCCACGCCCACCGGCCCGTCCTTCAACCCACGCCCACCGGCCCGTCCTTCAACCCACGCCCACCGGCCCGACCTTCAACCCACGCCCACCGGCCCGACCTTCAACCCACGCCCACCGGCCCGACCTTCAACCCACGCCCACCGGCCCGACCTTCAACCCACGCCCACCGGCCCGACCTTCAACCCACGCCCACCGGCCCGACCTTCAACCCACTCCCAGTACCATCAAATTACCCTTCAGACACAGCTGCCAAGCACCATCCTCAGTCCGCTATCATTTACCACCACCAAGAACTCAATCCCACCTACCCCCACCTACTCCCACCTACCCCTGCCTACCCCATCTACCCCCACCTATCCCCATCTACCCCCATCTACCCCCATCTACCCCCACCTACCCCCATCTGCCAAGTTTGAGATAAATAATTCAGGCAAAGTTGAGCAAGTCGTCGCCGCCAACCATCTTATGAATGACCCTTGACCTTCCTATCCATTACACAACCACCTCCTTCATCCTACCTCTTCTCCACCAACCACCTCATCCTACCCACCATTTCCCCCACCAAACACCCGTCTCTACCTACCCTCAACTCATGTTATATAGTTGTTAACATTTTACCTATGTTAAGACATTTTAACATAGGACTGCAGGAGAGGAGGATACTAGACCACAATGCCTCGGAACAACGTCACAATTAGATAACAATTCATTATGTATAACCAGCTCTAGCTACATCTAAATTGAAATTCTAGAAGCAAGAGACTCGAACACAACGTGAATTCGTGATAACGGATTGTGGTAATATTCGAACGCTGTGAAAATCCAAAGTTATCACTGAAACCCGACTGATAAAATTATTAATTATATTAGCACATTATCAAATACAGTTCTGTGAACTAGAGACCACGCTATCTTGAGAAATGTGTCAGAGTTTTGAAATGATATCTTTCTTAGGATGGGAGGGTGTAGAGCTGTCATGGTAGGATGGGAGGGTAGAGAGCTGTCATGGTAGGATGGGAGGGTGTAGAGCTGTCATGGTAGGATGGGAGGGTGTAGAGCTGTCATGGTAGGATGGGAGGGTAGAGAGCTGTCATGGTAGGATGGGAGGGTAGAGAGCTGTCATGGTAGGATGGGAGGGTGTGTCAGGTAGCTGTCATGGTAGGATGGGAGGGCTGTCATGGTAGGATGGGAGGGTGTGAGCTGGGTAGGATGGGATGGTAGTGTGTGAGGGCGTCATGGTAGGATGGGAGGGCGTCATGGTAGTGTGTGATGGCGTCATGGTAGTGTGTGAGGGCGTCATGGTAGGATGTGAGGGCGTCATGGTAGGTCATGGTAGGATGTCATGGTAGTGTGTGAGGGCGTCATGGTAGTGTGTGAGGGCGTCATGGTAGTGTGTGAGGGCGTCATGGTAGTGTGTGAGGGCGTCATGGTAGTGTGTGAGGGCGTCATGGTAGTGTGCGTAGGGCGTCATGGTAGTGTGTGAGGGCGTCATGGTAGTGTGTGAGGGCGTCATGGTAGTGTGTGAGGGCGTCATGGTAGTGTGTGAGGGCGTCATGGTAGTGTGTGAGGGCGTCATGGTAGTGTGTGAGGGCGTCATGGTAGTGTGTCATGGTAGTGTGTGAGGGCGTCATGGTAGTGTGTGAGGGCGTCATGGTAGTGTGTGAGGGCGTCATGGTAGTGTGTGAGGGCGTCATGGTAGTGTGTGAGGGCGTCATGGTAGAGTGTGAGGGCGTCATGGTAGTGTGTGAGGGCGTCATGGTAGTGTGTGAGGGCGTCATGGTAGTGTGTGAGGGCGTCATGGTAGTGTGTGAGGGCGTCATGGTAGTGTGTGAGGGCGTCATGGTAGTGTGTGAGGGCGTCATGGTAGTGTGTGAGGGCGTCATGGTAGTGTGTGAGGGCGTCATGGTAGTGTGTGATGGGCGTCATGGTAGTGTGTGCGTCATGGTAGTGTGTGAGGGCGTCATGGTAGTGTGTGAGGTGTGTGAGGGCGTCATGGTAGTGTGTGAGGGGGCGTCATGGTAGTGTGTGAGGGCGTCATGGTAGTGTGTGAGGGCGTCATGGTAGTGTGTGAGGGCGTCATGGTAGTGTGTGAGGGCGTCATGGTAGTGTGTGAGGGTGAGGGCGTCGTCATGGTAGTGTGTGAGGGCGTCATGGTAGTGTGTGAGGGCGTCATGGTAGTGTGTGAGGGCGTCATGGTAGTGTGTGAGGGCGTCATGGTAGTGTGTGAGGGCGTCATGGTAGTGTGTGAGGGCGTCATGGTAGTGTGTGAGGGCGTCATGGTAGTGTGTGAGGGCGTCATGGTAGTGTGTGAGGGCGTCATGGTAGAGTGTGAGGGCGTCATGGTAGGTGTGAGGGCGTCATGGTAGTGTGTGAGGGCGTCGTCGTCATGGTAGTGTGTGAGGGCGTCATGGTAGTGTGTGAGAGGGCGTCATGGTAGTGTGTGAGGGCGTCATGGTAGTGTGTGAGGGCGTCATGGTAGTGTGTGAGGGCGTCATGGTAGGTGTGAGGGCGTCATGGTAGTGTGTGAGGGCGCGTCATGGTAGTAGTGTGTGAGGGCGTCATGGTAGTGTGTGAGGGCGTCATGGTAGTGTGTGAGGGCGTCATGGTAGTGTGTGAGGGCGTCATGGTAGTGTGTGAGGGCGTCATGGTAGTGTGTGAGGGCGTCATGGTAGTGTGTGAGGGCGTCATGGTAGTGTGTGAGGGCGTCGTCATGGTAGTGTGTGAGGGCGTCATGGTAGTGTGTGAGGGCGTCATGGTAGTGTGTGAGGGCGTCATGGTAGTGTGTGAGGGCGTCATGGTAGTGTGTGAGGGCGTCATGGTAGTGTGTGAGGGCGTCATGGTAGTGTGTGAGGGCGTCATGGTAGTGTGTGAGGGCGTCATGGTAGTGTGTGAGGGCGTCATGGTAGTGTGTGAGGGCGTCATGGTAGTGTGTGAGGGCGTCATGGTAGTGTGTGAGGGCGTCATGGTAGTGTGTGAGGGCGTCATGGTAGTGTGTGAGGGCGTCATGGTAGTGTGTGAGGGCGTCATGGTAGTGTGTGAGGGCGTCATGGTAGGTGTGAGGGCGTCATGGTAGTGTGTGAGGGCGTCATGGTAGTGTGTGAGGGCGTCATGGTAGTGTGTGAGGGCGTCATGGTAGTGTGTGAGGGCGTGTGAGGGCGTCATGGTAGTGTGAGGGCGTCATGGTAGTGTGTGAGGGCGTCATGGTAGTGTGTGAGGGCGTCATGGTAGTGTGTGAGGGCGTCATGGTAGTGTGTGAGGGCGTCATGGTAGTGTGAGGGCGTCATGGTAGTGTGTGAGGGCGTCATGGTAGTGTGAGGGCGTCATGGTAGTGTGTGAGGGGTCGTCATGGTAGTGTGTGAGGGCGTCATGGTAGTGTGTGAGGGCGTCATGGTAGTGTGTGAGGGCGTCATGGTAGTGTGTGAGGGCGTCATGGTAGTGTGTGAGGGCGTCATGGTAGTGTGTGAGGGCGTCATGGTAGTGTGTGAGGGCGTCATGGTAGAGTGTGAGGGGCGTCATGGTAGTGTGTGAGGGCGTCATGGTAGTGTGTGAGGGCGTCATGGTAGTGTGAGGGCGTCATGGTAGGTGTGAGGGCGTCATGGTAGTGTGTGAGGGCGTCATGGTAGTGTGTGAGGGCGTCATGGTAGTGTGTGAGGGCGTCATGGTAGTGTGTGAGGGCGTCATGGTAGTGTGTGAGGGCGTCATGGTAGTGTGTGAGGGCGTCATGATAGTGTGTGAGGGCGTCATGGTAGTGTGTGAGGGCGTCATGGTAGTGTGTGAGGGCGTCATGGTAGTGTGTGAGGGCGTCATGGTAGTGTGTGAGGGCGTCATGGTAGTGTGTGAGGGCGTCATGGTAGTGTGAGGGCGTCATGAGGGTGTGTGGGGCGTCATGGTAGTGTGAGGTGTGAGGGCGTCATGGTAGTGTGTGAGGGCGTCATGGTAGTGTGTGAGGGCGTCGTCATGGTAGTGTGTGAGGGGCGTCATGGTAGTGTGTGAGGGCGTCATGGTAGTGTGTGAGGGCGTCATGTAGTGTGTGAGGGCGTCATGGTAGTGTGTGAGGGCGTCATGGTAGTGTGTGAGGGCGTCATGGTAGTGTGTGAGGGCGTCATGGTAGTGTGTGAGGGCGTCATGGTAGTGTGTGAGGGCGTCATGGTAGTGTGTGAGGGCGTCATGGTAGTGTGTGAGGGCGTCATGGTAGTGTGTGAGGGCGTCATGGTAGTCATGGTAGTGTGTGAGGGCGTCATGGTAGTGTGTGAGGGCGTCGTCATGGTAGTGTGTGAGGGCGTCATGGTAGTGTGTGAGGGCGTCATGGTAGTGTGTGAGGGCGTCATGTGGTAGTGTGTGAGGGCGTCATGGTAGTGTGTGAGGGCGTCATGGTAGAGTGTGAGGGCGTCATGAGGGCGTCATGGTAGTGTGTGAGGGCGTCATGGTAGTGTGTGAGGGCGTCATGGTAGTGGGCGTCATGGTGTGTGTGAGGGCGTCATGGTAGTGTGTGAGGGCGTCATGGTAGAATGTGTCATGGTAGTGTGTGAGGGCGTCATGGTAGTGTGTGAGGGCGTCATGGTAGTGTGTGAGGGCGTCATGGTAGTGTGTGAGGGCGTCATGGTAGTGTGTGAGGGCGTCATGGTAGTGTGTGAGGGCGTCATGGTAGTGTGTGAGGGCGTCATGGTAGTGTGTGAGGGCGTCATGGTAGTGTGTGAGGGCGTCATGGTAGTGTGTGAGGGCGTCATGGTAGTGTGTGAGGGCGTCATGGTAGTGTGTGAGGGCGTCATGGTAGAGTGTGAGGGCGTCATGGTAGTGTGTGAGGGCGTCATGGTAGTGTGTGAGGGCGTCATGGTAGTGTGTGAGGGCGTCATGGTAGTGTGTGAGGGCGTCATGGTAGTGTGAGGGCGTCATGGTAGAGTGTGAGGGAGTCATGGTAGTGTGTGAGGGCGTCATGGTAGTGTGTGAGGGGCGTCATGGTAGTGTGTGAGGGCGTCATGGTAGTGTGTGAAGGGCGTCATGGTAGTGTGTGAGGGCGTCATGGTAGTGTGTGAGGGCGTCATGGTAGTGTGTGAGGGCGTCATGGTAGTGTGTGAGGGCGTCATGGTAGTGTGTGAGGGCGTCATGGTAGTGTGTGAGGGCGTCATGGTAGTGTGTGAGGGCGTCATGATAGTGTGTGAGGGCGTCATGGTAGTGTGTGAGGGCGTCATGGTAGTGTGTGAGGGCGTCATGGTAGTGTGTGAGGGCGTCATGGTAGAGTGTGAGGGCGTCATGGTAGTGTGTGAGGGCGTCATGGTAGTGTGTGAGGGCGTCATGGTAGTGTGTGAGGGGCGTCATGGTAGTGTGTGAGGGCGTCATGGTAGAGTGTGAGGGCGTCATGGTAGTGTGTGAGGGCGTCATGGTAGTGTGTGAGGGCGTCATGGTAGTGTGTGAGGGC